GTGGGTGACACTCACACACACACACACACACTTGTCCCGAATCTCCTGGATCCTGAGGCAAGGCCACAGGAAAGTTAGGGGACAACTGTGACCAGCCTAACGGGAACAGGTAGCTCCTCCTCCCATCCACCTGTCCGGGGCATGAGGCAGCTATGTGGGGCTGGGACTGGACTCAGGCCCCCAGGCACCCCACCCCTGGGGAGGCAGCAGGGGCTCAGTCTGGCATGAGGCTCAGCTCCTGGCCCTGTAACCTGGGCAATGCAGCTGAGATGCCAAGCCTCAGTGCTCCCGTCTTTATTTTTATTTTACTTTATTTTTTAGATAGAATCTTTCTTTGTCGCCCAGGCTGGAATACAGTAGCGTGGTCTTGGCTCACTGCAACCTCCACGTTCCAGGTTCAAGCCATTCTCCTGCCTCAGCCTCCCAAGTAGCTGGGATTACAGGTGCCTGCCACCACGCCTGGCCATTTTTTGTTATTTTTAGTAGAGACGAGGTTTCGCCACGTTGGCCAAGCTGGCCTCGAACTCCGGACCTCAAGTGATCTGCCTTCCTTGGCCTAAAGTGCTGGGATTACAGGTGTGAGCCACCACACCCAGCCAATGGTCTCATCTTTAAAATGCAAAGAAGAGGAAGTGGAGGGAGAGAGCTTGGTAGTGGCACGCGGTTGGCCACTGGGATCATCGGTCCCACGAGTCCTCACCCAGGACCCTTCTCACTGCAGCCCAGCACCCCCGCTTTTTTCTTTTCCTCTTTGAGATAGAGCCTCACTCTGTCATCCAGGATGGAGAGCAATGGCGTGATCAGCTCACTGCAACCTCCACCTCTTAGGTGTAAGTGATTCTCCTGCCTCAGCCTCCCGGGTAGCTGGAATTACAGGTGTGGCCCCCATGCCAGCTAATTTTTATATTTCTAGTAGACACGAGAATTCACCATGTTGGCAAGGCTGGTCTTGAGTTCCTGACCTCAAGTGATCTGCCCACCTCTCTCAAAGCGCTGGGATTATAGGCGTGAGCCACTGCCTGGCCCTCAGGGTCTTTGCAGCCTCTGTTCCCTTTGCCTGGATGCTTTTCCCTCAACTGCAGCCTTGGTGACTCCAGCTCGTCACTTGAGTCCTTGCTCCAGTGCCACCCTTGGAGCCAGGCCGTCCCTAACCGCCCTGTCTGCAGCAGCCTCGGGATTTGCTCGGTTACACACAGCCGGGTCCCTGACCACGCTAGTCCATCCAGGACTTTGTCCCCTGCTGGGTCCCAAACCACCCTCCTGCCCACCTGCTCTGACCACCTCTCCCGTGTAGCCCTGTGCCACCTCCTCGTGTGAGAGACGCCCTCAAAGGTGCCCTCAAATGCTGCTCCCAGTGTGGCACAGCTCTGAGGACACAGGCCTCCCCTGTCCACTGGGTGGGCAGCAGGGGCACCAGTCCAGGCCCCATCCCTTTGCCAGCTCCTCTGCCGGACGCTGAGCTCATGCTTTGGGAGGCAGCCACAGCCCTGTTCCCAGAGCAGACTCCAGCATGCTCCCCTCCCCAAAAAACACCGCCAGCCCCGGCCTCTGCCAGACCCATCTCCAGCTGCCCACTGCCCAGGGTCCCGGCCTCTGATGGGTATGGCCGCCTCCAGCCCCTCAGAGAACAGATGCCAGTTGCATGAGTGAGTGAGGGAGCCCAACGGGCCAACAGGACTGGGGGGACAGTCCTTCCCTGGCTCTTCCACCTGTCACTCTTCCCAGAGGCTTTTATACTGTTGTTTTCTGGAGACCCTGGCACAGGAACAGAAGTGGCCCCGGCAGCAGAATCTCTCCCTTTCTCTCTCCCAGGGTTTTGCTGCCTCGGCCAACTCAGTTTTGCTCCAGGCTGGCCGCCCCCTTCCCAGCCTGGGAGTCTGGTTCTGCCCTGTAAAGGCAGTGGCCAGGGGGCAACATGGAGAGAGAGCGCCACCGAGGCCAGCCACAGCCTCTGCTGCCACCATCGCCAAGGTCAGGCACAAGGTGTGGCTCCCCAGTCAGTCAGGCATTCTCGGAGGGACACTTTCTCTCTCTGGGACAGCTTCGCAGGGTGGGGGCCCCAGGCAGCCCGATCACCCAGTCCTCGCCCCCACTCCCGGACCCCTGGGCAGTGTGACCAGGAAGCAAGTGGCATGTCACAGGCCACACTGCAGTCCATTCCCTCCAGGGAACCACAGAAATGACAGCAGGTGATGACACCAGGAGCACAGGGCGGTGCTTGCCACAGGATGCAATAAGATGAGAAAAAGCAGAATGCACCATTTAGCTGTTTAAACAACAACTTGTGGCCGGGCACAGGGGCTCACACCTGTCATCCCAACACTTTGGGAGGCAGAGGTGGGAGGATTACTTGAGGTCAGGAGTTCGAGACCAGCCTGGCTAACATGTTGAGACGCTATCTCTACTAAAAATAGAAACAATGAGCCAGGCATGGTGGCAGGCTCCTGTAATCCCAGCTACTAGGGAGGCTGAGGCATGGGAATCACTTGAACTCGGGAGGCGGAGGTTGCAGCATGCCAAGATTGCGCCACTACACTCCAACCTTGGCAACAGAAGGAGACCCTGTCTCAAACAAACAAACAAACATAGCTAAACACAGAAAAGGTACAGTAAAAATAAGGTTTAAAAGGTAGACTGGGTCAGATGTGGTGGCTGACACCTGTAATCCTAGAATTTTGGGAGGTCAAGGTGGGAGGGTTGCTTGAGTTCAGGAGGTGCGTCCTGGGCAATATAAGGAGATCCCGTCTCCTGCCTCTTTTTTTTCAGACGAGCCTCACTCTGTTGCCCAGGCTGGAGTGCAGTGATGTGATCTTGGCTCACTGCAACCTCTGCCTCTCAGGTAGCTGGGGTTACAGGCACCCACCACCATGCCTGGCTAATTTTTTGTATTTTTAGTAGAGATAGGGATTTTACTATGTTGCCCAGGCTGGTCTCGAACTCCTGATCTCAGGTGATCCGCCTGCCTCGGCCTCCCAAAGTGCTGGGATTACAGGCCTGAGCCATCACACCTGGCCAAGATCCTATCTCTTTTTTTTTTTTTTGAGATGGAGTTTCGCTCTTGTTGCCTAGGCTGGAGTGCAATGGTGCGATCTCAGCTTGGCACAATCTTGGCTGACCACAACCTCCACCTCCTGGTTTAAGCAATTCTCCTGCCTCAGCCTCCCGGGTAGCTGGGATTACAGGCGCCTGCCACCACGACCAGCTAATTTTTCTATTTTTAGTAGAGACAGGGTTTCATCCTGTTGGCCAGGCTGGTCTCCTAACTTCAAGCGATCCTCCCACCTCAGCCTCCCAAAGAGCTGGGATCACAGGCTTGCGTCACTGTGCCCAGCCCTCACCACTCGTAAAACAAACCCAAACCCCGTGTCCTTCAGGTCTGCCTCTGCCGGGCTCCCTCACCTCTTTTCACACTCCTCTCCAGCCAGACTTCCCTTCTTTCTCTCTCTTGTTTTTTTAGGGACTCGTTCTGTCACTCAGGCTGGAGTGCTGTGGTGTGCTCATGGCTCACTGCAGCCTCCAACCCCTGGGCTCAAGCAATCCTCCCACCTCAGCCTCCCGAGTACTAGGGACTACAGGCACACACCACTATTCCTGGCTAATTTTTAAACTTTTTTTTGTAGGGATGGGGTCTCACTATGTTCTCCAGGCAGGTCTGGAACTCCTAGGCTCAAGTGTTCCTCTGGCCTCAGCCTCCCAAAGTGCTGTGCTGGGATTACAGGTGTGAACCACCATGCTGGCTGCTCTTTCCTTTTACCTTTTCTTTTTTTTTTTTTTTGAGACAGCGTCTTGTTCTGTTGCCCAGGCTGGCGTACAATGGCATGATCTCGGCTCACTGCAGCCTCCGCCTCCCGAGTCCAATTGATTCTCATGCCTTGGCCTCCCAAGTAGCTGGGACTACAGACACATGTCACCACATCTGGCTAATTTTTGTATTTTCAGTATTTTTAGGGTAGAGATGGGGTTTCATCTTGTGGACCAGGCTGGTCTCGAACTCCTGACCTCAGATAATCCACCAGCCCTGGCCTCCCAAAGTGCTGGGATTTTAGGCATGAGCCATTGCACCTGGCTTAATTTTTGTATTTTTAGTAGAGATGGGGTTTCACCACATTGGTCAGGCTGGCCTTGAACTCCTTACCCTAAGTGATCCTCCCACCTCAGCCTCCCAAAGTGCTGTGATTACAGGTGTGAGCTTCAATGCCCAGCTCAATCACAATTTTTTAAGCCCCAGAGAATGGGTAAGAAATTGCTTCTAGTTTCTTCCATCATACCAATCTTGGTTTAAGACCTTCCTACAGCTCTGATTATTAGGATGAAAATGAAACTCCCTGCACACCTCCAAGCGGCCCAGGTCCACCTGCATCACAGCAGACTGCCCCAGCTGCACCCATGTTCTCTCTCTGTCTTGTACTCGTGATGCTCCTTTCTGCCTCTGAGCCTTCGTCCGTGCTGTTCCCTCTACCTGGAATATCCTTCCCCCTTTTTGAGATGAAGTCTCGCTCTGTTGCCCAGGCTGGAGTACAATGGCATGATCTCGGCTCACTGCAACCTCCGCCTCCAGGTTCAAGTGATTCTCCTGCCTCAGCCTCCCCGGTAGCTGGGATTACAGGCATGCACCACCATGCCCAGCTAATTTTTGTATTTTTGTAGAGGAGGGGTTTCACCATGTTGGCCAGCTAGTCTCGCAATCCTGACCTCAAGTGATCCCGCCCGCCTTGGCCTCCCAACGTGCTGGGATGACAGGCATGAGCCACCGCGCCCGGCCCCTATCCTCTTCCACTAGTGAATCTGCTATTCACCCTCCAGACCTCAGCTCCCACGTCCCCTCCCTGGGGAAGCCTCTGGTGACCTCCCGGCGCTGATCAGGCCCCATTACAGGAGCTCGTGACACAGCGTCCCCCACCAGGCTGGTCAGAGCAGCCCGCGCTCCTGGGGCTCTTCTGGAAGAACACTCATCACATGTAGCCTGTCCCCTTACCCCACCAATCCTTGGCACCACGTACCTTCCTTGGAGCCAGTGGCTGTCGCTGCTGAGGATGAAGCTGACCCGGTGGACGTCCGGCCCATGGGACTGGAGTGCTTCCCCCCACGGCCGGGGGGCTTCAGGCCGCTGGGCTTCTGCATGGCGGTGCCACTGGGCAGGTGGACAAGGGTGAGTGTCGGTCACATCCTCTCTGCCACCTTCACTCACCTGCGGGCAGAGACAGGAGACATTGCATCATCACTTCCCAACGGCCCCCAGACCTCAAGGGCCACTGAGAAATACACATCCCTCCTGATGTGGGCTGGCAGAGGCCACAGCCGACTGAACCTATCAGCTCACTGCCCCCTTGCCACGTGAGCCATATTTCCGTTCCCGGGCTCATCATCCCAGCACCGCCCCTCTATCCCAGGGGCTGGACAAACACAGAGAGGCTCATGCCTTACGCGCTTACATCCCGGTGTGGGGTCATCTGCCTCAACTCCACACCGGGATATCATCTAGCTGTGCCTGCCTTTCCACCAGGAAGGCTTCGTGCCTTTATTTTTGGTTGCAGAAATATATTATAATTGAAAGATGTTGTTTCATCTTCTATGCCACAAGCATCCATCAAGCTGTTTGCAGCGACCACTTTTTTGAGATGGAGTTTCGCTCTTGTTGCCAAGACTGGAGTGCAATGGCAAGATCTCGGCTCATCACCACCTCCAACTCCCAGGTTCAAGCGATTCTCCTGCCTCAGCCTCCAGAGTTGCTGGGATTACAGGCATGCAGCACCACGCTCAACTAATCTTGTATTTTTAGTAGAAACAGGGTTTCTCCATGTTGATCAGGCTGGTCTCGAACTCCCGACCTCAGGTGATCCGCCCACCTTGGCCTCCCCCAAAGTGCTGGGATTACAGGCAAGAGCCACCATGCCCAGCCAAACCACTTTTAGACTGGGCACAGTGGCCTGTCATTCCAGGAGTCTGGGAGGCTGAGGTTGGAGGATCACGTGAGCCCAGGAGATCAAGGCTACAGTGAGCTCCAATGCACTCCAGCCTGGATGACAAAGCGAGACATTTTCTCCCCTCAAAAAAAAAAAAAGCCCTAAAAGGGCTGGGGGCAGTGACTCACACCTGTAATCCCCACACTTTGAGAGGTCGAGATGGGGGGTAGATTGAGGCCAGGAGTTCGAAACCACCCTTGGTAGCTTAGCAAGACTTTGTCTCTACAGAAAACGAAAAACAAAAAATTAGCTGGGCATGGTGGCACATGCCTGTAGTCCCAGCTACTTGGGGGGCAAAGGCAGGACTGCTTGAGCCTGGGAAGCTTAGGCTGCAATGCACTGTGATGGCACCACTGCACTCCAGCCTGGGCAACAGAGTGAGGCTCCATCTCAAAAAGGAAAAAAAGAAGAAAGGAAAAAGAAAAAGAAGGGCCAGGTGTGGTAGCTCATGTCTGTAATCCCAGCACTTTGTGAAGCCAAGGGAGGAGCATCACTTGAGCCCAGGAGCTCAGGAGTTCAAGATGCACCTGGGCAACATAGTGAGACCCTGTTCTCTACAAATAATAAAAATGAAGTATTTTTTTAAAGGTCTAAAAGCAAAGATCACATGTTAATCATGGCACACACACAAAAAAATGTGTGATACTTGCTAATACAGTAACCTCAGAAGCAAAAGAAAGCTTTATGTCTTGTTTTAAAATTTATTTATTTTTGAGACGGACTCTCACTCTCTCGCCCAGGCTGGAGTGCAGTGACACCATCTCGGCTCACTGCAACCTCCACCGCCCAGGTTCAAGTGATTCTCCTGCCGCAGCCTCCTGAGTATTATGGATTACAGGCATAATCCTCCTGATGGATTACAGGCACCCATCACAAGGCCTGGCTAATTTTCATATTTTTAGTAAAGACACGGCTTTGCCATGTTGGCCAGGCTGGTCTCGAACTCCTGACCTCAAGTGATCCTCCCGCCTTGGCCTCCCAAAGTGCTGGGATTACAGGCATGCGCCACCACGCCCAGCCAGCTTTGTGTCATATGACAAAGCAGAGACGAGCTTAGAGGAGCACCTGCGCTTTACAATAGGGACTCTGGCAGGGAGCAAAGCCTCCAGGCACGATGCTATCTGTTTAGGGGATCGGGGGCAGCAAGATGGGGCTGGGGGTCAGGGAGGTGGACAAGCCCCCCACCCCCAGGCCTCTTCCCCACTATCCTACACTCACAAACTTTCCTGCACCCAGTGTTTCTGGAGGGCTCACCATGAGCCAGATCCCATTCCCGCCCCAGAGCTGCCGGCAGGAACTCAGCCTCTGTCCTGGGGAGCACCAGAGTCAGAGGGAGGATTCCAGGCAAAAGCATCCTCACATCTGGACCTCAGAAACACAGGAAATCTCTGAGGCAGTAGATGCCCTTGTTTGTCCAGCCATATCTGCAGTCACAGATTTCAAAGAATCCTTTTCACCACTCATCTTATTATTATTATTTTTAGAGACAGGGTCTAACTCTGTTGCCCCGACTGGAGTGCAATGGCGTGATCTTGGCTCAACTGCAATCTCCGCCTCCCAGTTTCAAGTGATTCTCCTGCCTCAGCCTCCTAAGTAGCTGGACTACAGGTGCCCACCACCACGCCTGGCGAATTTTTGTATTTTTTGTAGAGATGGGGTTTCACCATGTTGGCCAGGCTGGTCTCAAACTCCTGACCTCAAGTGATCCTCCCACCTCTACCTCCCACAATTCAGGGATTATGGGCATGAGACACCACACTCAGCCCCTTTTTTTTTTGAGACAGAGTCTCACCTTGTCACCCATGCTGGAGTGCAGCGGTGTGATCTTGGCTCACTGCAACCTCCATCTCCTGGGTTCAAGCAATTCTCCTGCCTCGCCTCCAAGTAGCTCAGACGACAGGTGCCTGCCACCAGGCCTGGCTAATTTTTATATTTTAGTAGAGATGGGGTTTCTGCCATCTTGGCCAGACTGGTCTCGAACTGATGACCTCAAGCAATCCTCCCGCCTCAGCCTCCCAAAGTGCTGGGATTACAGGCGTGCACCACGTTCCTGGCCTTTTTTTTTTTTTTTTTTTTTTCCCAAACCTATTTGAGGGACACTGTCATTTGCATTTCCAAAAAGTTCTGATGAATACGGAAGCCAACCTACAATGCTCACGGCAGGAATGCACGATGTGTTCTCAGACCGTCCGATGAGTCAGCGGCGCTACTACCTGTCCTGGCACATCCGAGGGAAGGATCGCCTCCTCCCTCGGGCTGGCAGCTACAGGAGCAGAGGAGAACGAGCTGCCCCCGGGCACACAGCAGTGGAGTCGACATGCCCTGGTGAGCCCACGAGAACATTGGGCATGTCTGCCAGTCCTGGCCCTCAGGGCCTGGCAAATCCAACATTCCAACGCCCCTGGTGCCCCGGGAATTCTGGGGATCGGGAGTCAATCATGCTGGGGTACAAAGCCGCTCCCTTAGTCCCCAGAACCTGGCCCTCCTAGTGGCTCGTTCACTAAGGGAGCCGGGCTGTGGGCTCTGGGCACAGCTCTCTGAGAGCTTGGTTAGGCTGGGTCAGCATCTCCGATGCCAGCAAAGGTGAGTGGGCGTGGTCTCTGGTGACAGTAAATGTCCCACCCTGTGGGTGACCAAACAAGCCTCCTGCTCCTGTGGCTCAGCTGGGCCACCCTCTCACCTAGGAATTCCTGATGCAGCGAAGAGAGAGCGTTGCCGGGACTCACGTGAGGTGCAAGGAGCTCCCGACCCATCCTGAACACCCCCAGAGCCTCTTCTCTGCCCAAAAATCCTTCCACAGAGAAAACAGCTAAAAAACACATCTAATAACAAACTTGCACTCTTTTTTTTTGGAGATGGAGTCTCGCTCTGTTACTGTGGTGCAATTTCGGCTCACTGCAACCTCTGCCTCCCAGGTTCAAGCCAGTAGCTGGGACTACAGGCCTGTGCCACCACATCAGCTAATTTTTATATTTTTAGTAGAGACGGAATTTCACCATGTTGGCCAGGCTGGTCTTAAACTCCTGACCTCAAATGATCCACCTGCCTCAGCCTCCCAATGTGCTGGGACTACAGTAAGCCACCGCGCCCAGCCCAGACTTGGACTCTTTTCTTTTTCTTTCTTTTGTTTTTTTTTTTTCTTGAGATGTGGTCTTGCTCTATCACCCAGGCTGGAGTGCAGTGACACGATCACAGCTCACTGTAGCCTCCAGCTCCTGGGCTCAAGGATCCTCCTGTCTCAGCCTCCTGAGTAGCTAGGACCACAGGTGCACGCTACCGTGCCTGCACAATTGTTTTTCATTTTCTGTAGAGAATGGGTCTAGCTACATTGCCCAGGCTGGTCTCAAACTCCCGGCTCAAGCCGCCCTCCTGCCTCTCTGCCTCTGAAAGTGCTGGGATTTCAGGTGTGAGCCACCACGCCCAGCCAGGGCTGGTATTCAGGAAACATAAGGAACAACTCACTAAGAAGAAGACAACAACCCAGTGAAAAATGGGTGAAAGGTCTAAATAAACATTTCACCAAAGAAGATAACCAAACAGTTCGTAAGCACATGAAAAGATGAGGAACGTCTTTACTCATCCAGGCAATGCAGATCAAAGCCACAAGGGCAGCCGGGCGCGGTGGCTCACGCCTGTAATCCCAGCACTTTGGGAGGCCGAGGCGGGTGGATCACGAGGTCAAGAGATCGAGACCATCCTGGTCAACATGGTGAAACCCCGTCTCTACTAAAAAACTACAAAAAAATTAGCTGGGCATGGTGGCGCGTGCCTGTAATCCCAGCTACTCAGGAGGCTGAGGCAGGAGAATTGCCTGAACCCAGGAGGTGGAGGTTGCGGTGAGCCGAGATCGC